GCAAGCAAACAGACACTTCTCTGCAGATACTGGGCATTCAAGGTCTGTCAACACTGGCACCCTTTTGCTTACATCCTTGTAGATGGAGGTAGAGTCAATGGAGCTAGCTTGCTGTTGAGTTTATCACTATATGCCTCCCCATAAGGGAATGGCTCCTTGCTGACAGGGGAAGGAGCCTGACTCACCTCAATGGGCAGTGACTGTGCACTTGGGGTATCTGGTTACATGGAGGCCGTCAGAATATTCTCCGGGCAACCTGCTTCTTCCTTCCCCAGGATGCAGATCTCCACCTCCCAAGTCACTAGGATTCTTTGCAAGATCGGACTCTTCCTGGTGTCTAGAATCCTCACACCACAGTTAGAGTGTAGCTGGTTTAAAATGAAACCTATATGTGCTGTTTTGTGCCCCACTGAGAAATAGTAGGATGAAAAAATAATCTAACAGATAAAATAAAAATTTAGAAAAGCTTTGCAGACTATATATATATGTATGTATATATATGTATATATGTGTGTGTGTGTGTGTCACACTGACAAATTACCGTATTTTTTCGTGTATAGTAGTACCTCTGGTTACGAACTTAATTCATTCCGGAGGTCTGTTCTTAACCTGAAATCGTTCTTAACCTGAGGTACCACTTTAGCTAATGGGGTCTCCTGCTGCTGCCACACCACCAGTGCACCTCATCCTGAGGTAAAGTTCTTAACCTGAGGTACTAATTCTGGGTTAGCAGAGTCTGTAACCTGAAGTGTTTGTAACCCAAGGTACCACTGTATAAGACAATATTTTTTCCTTAGAAATAATAGATAAAAATTGCAGGTCATCTTATACACGGATAGCAGGTGGGGTACAGGCGATTGGTGGCAGCAGCCAGGAGGAGATTGGCAGCGGTGATTGGGCATGTGATTGGTTGCTGCAGCTGACGATTGGCTGTGGCTGCGGCAATTGGGTGGGCTATTTACGGCAGTGGCGAGGAATGTGTGGTTGTGTTGAGTGTGCAGGTAGGCTTTTGGCTGTGAGCGTGCAGATGATGGGTGGCCGTGGCAATGCATGCAATTTGCATTGGCAGTCAGGCTGTAGAGCGATTGGTGGCAGTGCCCCCCCCCATTAAAGCTCAAGAACCCTGGGCAATCTCCCCCCCCCAATTTTTTGGTTGCAGTCCAAAATAACAGGGGTTATCTTAAACATGGGGGCATGTTATAAACGAAAAAATATGGGATAGCCCACATAGTATAACTGGAGAGTGGCTTATGAAATAAAATATAATCAGTCAGTAAGAGTGTATTGAGGGGACGGGTAGGAATAAAGACTGGCGCTATTCAGGGAAAGAAGCCCCAAATATGATTTTCACCAGTTTCCCCACTTATAGTAGACACAGCCAATATATTCTGCTATAGAGGCAGTATTCCTCTAGGAGTGCCTTGCATGTTCTGAATGGATAGGCATGATATAAATCCCACAAATAAATAATAAACAATCCATGCACAGTGATGCCATTGGGGTCATAAAGTTTTCCTGATAGCATCTTATTGCTGGTGCAAGTTCTCTTTGCTTCCAACCACATGCTCTCTGGAGCAACATTACATCCTAGCAAATCATCGCCATGTTGCAGGGAAAATGGTCCCCGTGTTGCTTTTGAGCTTTCTGCTCTTGTTGTCCTTTGCCTTTTATGTTTCAACATTTGTTTGGATTAACTTTGTTATTGGCAGCTGAGATGCAACTCGAAACCATTTCCTCTTTCCATGAGCAATAAGCAACTCTGCATTTTCCACACAAATGGCTATTATTTAGGGGATCAGTTTGATTTTTTTTTAAAAAAAAATCCTCATGAGGATTCATCAACATTGTGTGAATTTCTCCCAATATACGCATTTCATGCAATTTTGTGGTGTTGCGGTTAGAGAGGTGGACTTTGACCTTGGAGACCAGGATTTAAATCCCCTCACAGCCATGAAGTTCACTGTTGTGATTGTCAGTTGCTTCAATCTGTTTTCAATGCTGTATTTTTACATTGTTGTAAACCACCTAGGGACCTCAGGGTGAAGGGGCGCGGTAAGAAATTATTGTTAATAAATTATTGGCAAAATCAATTTTTCTTCCTTTTATTTTCTTGTTTTGCTGCTACATTTCAAAACCATTGGGGGGGGTCAGCAGAGTATGAAACCTATCAATCATGGAAAAATTCTAGGGTCACCAGCTGATTACTATTAGAGGAAGGGCAGTGAATATTATAATTCATTATACATTTTATAAATCCTATTGAGATTCTTGTAAATTCACTTCCATGACTTAAAAAGATTTGCAGTGATCCTATAATATCACACTTTCATTATATGTGGGATAAGATTAAGAAGATTTAGGTCTGCATTATCTCCAATGATATTAGCGATTTTAACATAAGAAGA